TTCTTCACATACATACACAGTCCTTGTGCACAGCCATCCGTCCGTCCATCCATCCATCCATCCATCCATCCATCCATCCATCCATCCATCCATCCATCCATCCATCCATCCCCTTGAGACCAGAGTCCACCACCTCAGATCCAACCTCCCGGCTGCAGCCCTGCCCAGCTGGCTGGCAGCACAGGAGATTTACCTCCATTATTAACCCAATTGGTTGATTATTGGAGGCCCAAGTAGATGAGGAGGTGCATCCTCCCCAAAGACTCAACTGGCATCTGATTTCAGGGAGGTAGCTGGGGAGGGAGTTGGAAGCAGCCAGTGTGAGCTCCTGACTGCTCCTCTCCCCTCCACAGTGAGGGTATTCTCACACCCTCAACTAGTTTTTACACCTCCTCTTTGGAGCCCCATTCCCAAACCCTTTGAACCCCATCTGTAAGATAGTGTTATGGCAGCTTCTGAGGCTCTGAGCATCCCACAGACTCCAGTGGGGCCAGGAAGTGCCCTGGGGACAGCAATTGGAGTGGGTGACTGGCACCACCAGGACTGCTCAGCACTGTGGGCTGGGTAAGAGACCGCCTTGGAGGGGGTTCAGCCCTCAAATCCTGCCTCAAGTACCCGTGGGTCCATGCAATTCCAAGACTGTGACACTGGTACAGGCATGCAGATGCCTAAACACACTGGGACACTCCACATGTGTCTGCACATGCACACGGGTGTGTTCAGACTCGTGTGGGCACACACACACACGGTACCATACACACAACTACAGCCACATGGATCCACGCACACCTACGTGCTCATACAGACCCATAAACACATTCCAGCACTTCCATGGGTTCACACATACTCTGCACACTCCTGTGGATCCATACAGACACACAGGGCCTCCCAAGAATCGCTACACACAGGGGCACTCATGTGGGTCCACATACACACACGTACCGCCATACTTACATGTGCATTTATGCAGGTGCACACACTCAGGCTGGTGTGTGGGCACAGACACCCCTAGAACACCTCTGTTTGCCCTTCCAGCCACACCACAGCAGCCCCCCTGTCCTGTCCTGCGCCCTCCACTGCTGCTGGGTTGCTAGAGCTGTTTGAGCTCCAGGGATTGGCACACTGACCCTTACTGCTAACGCCACCTCCCTACTGCAGGTGGTCCCAGATTAGGGGCACAGCTCTGCTCATAGGTTCCCTGGAGAAAAGTCTCCAGGCAGACATGGACAGGGGTGAAGACACTGTGTCCATCTGTCCCTCCCTGTCTCTGCAGTGTAACCAGAGACCCTCTAAATGAGCCCTGGGAGCCCTTGGTCCTGCCCTTAGGTTGAAGATGCACTGACGGTGAGGACAGGAGTGTGGCATGGAGACCACTACCCTCTCCTCAGAGTCCTCCTCCTAAGCCACCTCCATTCCCTGAACATTCCTGACTCTATCTCCTCCATCCCCAGGGACACCACCACAGGAGAAAGCAATAGGGACAGAGGTAGGAGGGTGCACACAACTCATTTTGGGATGACCCTCTGTGGCACTAGGAGGTCTTTGCCTACAGGGGTACAAACACCTTCAGGCTCTGAGATGCAAGTGCACAAACTCACAGTTGGCAAGCCCTCCCTAAATGCGTGTTAAAGACAGGTGGGTGGGTGTAAGAGGCAACTCCTGGCATCAGGGACAGGCAAGGCAGGAGGAACAGCCACTCCAGGGTTAGGCTGAGGATAATGGTAAACAGCTGCTGGTAAAACCAGCCACCCCCAAATTAACCACTGAGGCTACCAGACACCCTGGAGTTCCTAATGGGCTGGCTGGGACTCACCCCCTGCAGCTCTCCTGGGAAGGGAGGAAGAAGCTTCAGAGGATCCTGATCCCCCCAGTCACAGATGGCTGTGCACATGCCAGAGGGGCCTTGTCAGGGAGGGCATCCTCCTGCCAGCAAACACTCTGGTAACAGGAGCTGGATGCAAAGCCCAGATGTTTGAGTCCCTCCCACCCCAGGGAATGGAGAAGAAAGCCCCGGGTTCTGGTGCTGTTCTTCTATCACTTGGAGGAAACCAGCACACCTATCCCTGTCTATATGTATGGTTTCCCTAGGGGGAAAGCTGAATTCACAGAGCTGAGCTTGGCACCAGAAATGCTAGGCTTTTACCTGTGCCCTCCAAGTCAAATATAATGCAGCACCACAGAATTAAAACCTGGAGGCATCCCAGCCCTTAAGGAAGCTGGGGTTCATGGCTAATGCATAATCACACCCCACTTGGTGCTCCCCATCTCAGGGCTGGGTCTGCCTGACAGCCCTGGGTGTGGAGACCTCCCAGACCTTTGCCCAGGTCTCTACACGTGTCCTTATCAATGTACACAAACCAGTGCTAGGGGCTGATGCAAACGGCAGGGGTGAGGGGGTCGCTGAGCCTTGTAACATTACAGCAGCCCTCCCAGTCAGAGCAAAGGTCTCACCAGCCTCCACTCCCCAAACCAGCACCTCAGGAAGCATATACAACTACAGCATATATGTGAGCTATTTCCCCAGAAATCTCCTCCATGCAAAGCAGCATTTTGTTGTTAACCCTGTGGATTTAGCCACAACCACCTCGTCCTCTGCTCCCATTTTTAGCAGTACTGCGCTGTGTGGAAACCCTTCTCCGGCTGGTCCTGCACTAACCTCCCAGCCCATTTCCATCAAGGCATCCTCCCCACTGGAGAGAGATGGGGAAGTCTCTCTCTGCCCACTTTCTGCCCATCAGCCTGGATTTGGTGGTTTCTGTTCACTTAGCTGTGCCCTCAGTCCAGGAGGATGAGAGCACAGACAACCTGAGCATGAACCCCACCCTGGGTGATGGTATGATGGCTTGGGCAGTTTCAAGTAGGGACTCCTGGTGGAAAATACAGTTCTGGCTACTACAGGGTCTCTTTCCAGGAGAGCTCCAGGACCCTCACAACCACACTGCCACTGCCCCAGCAGATTTCCAGCAGACACATGCTGGCCCCCCACCTCCCCCACAGCATCACAGACCAGCCCTTGGGAAACCTCCAAAAGCTAAAGCACAGCCACCCTCCCCACTTAGTCCCTGCAGAGTGGAGAACCTGTTCCCCAGGCTGGGTGAGCCACAGCCCTGCAGCCTGGGGAGGACCCAGCAGGGACATGACCCTCCCAGGAAGAGGTATGTTCCCCTCCTGCATGATCTCAGGAGAGGGACAGGAGTGACAGTCACCCTGCAGATCCCAAAGCAAGCTGGCACCGCAGCCTGTTCCAAACTGCAGAAGGACATCCCGTTGTTCCCTGGGCTGGCTGGGACACACCACAAGGGGGGAAACACAGGTGTGGGTCTCTGGATGAGGGGTCCATCACTTTTCCAATCAGGGTTGAAAAAACCCAAAGAGAGTAAACAAGGAACAAACCAGCTCTCACCCTGAGAAGCTGTGGCAGGATTTATCCTGCACCCCAACCTCTCCTGTTATCCCTCTCTCACTATTCACAACATTCCTGCCCTGCACAAGGAGTGCGGGCAGCCCCAGACAGGGGCAGGGTGGGAGGCTGAAGGACGAGAAATGCCGGGGATGCTTTCCTAGCCTCCCTGGGAGGGAGGAGCTGCTTTCCACCTCCCGGCTGACCCCGGGAACCGGACAGTCAGCCTTTTTCTGTGCAGCGGGGTGTAATGCAGTACTTCCTGGACGAGCTGTTTGGCCTGTGCAGTTCACCCACCTCGGCCCTCCCCGGGCTGCTTCAAGGCAGTGTAAGCACTGGCGGCATCTCAGCCGGGGGTCATGCCCTGTCTGCACCTCTACCTGCCACCTTGTAGGCAGGGGATGAGCTCTAGCCCCCAGAATAACAACGCGTTGAGCAACTTGAAATAGAAAAGGCAGCAGCACGCCCCTACAGCAGCCAAAAGTTGGGTCCCTGCTGCTGTTCCCTTCCTCTCCTGCGAAAACCGGATGAGACCAAAGTGCCCTCATCCTCCTGTCCCTGAGCAGTGCCATCCTAAAAATACACAACAGCTGTATGGGGACACCTCTGTCTGTTCTATCCCCTCACCAGATCCTCCCTGTTGCCCACTGTGCCTCTCTGTCCCCCACAAGGAAGCTGAGCGCATGGGGAACACAAACCTGCCCTATCCATGCCCACACCCTTGCATGCAGAGGCACCCACTGTGTGCAAACCGGAGCTTGTACAACACAACTCAGATAAGCTCCACATGCATTAAATACAGGGACACTTTTCTTCCATCCTTTACATGAGCTCCTGAAGCCCTTTCCTCATGTCCTCAGCTGCAAAAAGGTCTCCCCTACACCCACCAGGAATGAGGGGACAGGGTGTATATGCTACTTCTTCCAGTACAAAGAAATCAGTGAGCTGCGTTGACCAACTGTAATACACCCTGGCCTCTGCAGAGACAGAAGAACACAGCTCCATGGCTTGCCAGCTCCTTGGGGTGACCAACACCAGAGCCCTTGCCGTTTTTCATCTCTGCAAAACCTCCGTGGACGGGGTCAGACTGTTTTACCCATTATGGAAAGCACCAGGATGGAGCACAGATCAGGGTGGCACAGGGAGACGTCTGGACACTGGACCTGTGCAGGGCCTGTGGACAGGCACAGGGGACGTGGAGGAGGTGGGGTCATGAAGCAGGGCTGAAATGGGGCTTGGTAGCAGGGAGACGGGAAGCACGGAGGATTAATGATGATGTGCAGTGAAGATCATGCAGGGGGTACCCATTTAGGGGAGGATGAGGTCTGGGGGCACTGGATGAGTACTGCTGGGGTTTCATCTACTGTGGGATCACAGTAATGTCTGGGGTTAATGGGGATACGGGGAATATCTACTCGGGCTGGGTCTGGGCTGGGGCATGGTGCTGCCCATCTAGGGTGGGACGCAGACAAGTTTGCGAGCAGTGGGGGGCAAAAGAGTTGTCCATTCAGGGAAAGCTAAAGCCGAATTTGGGGACCATGGGGGACACCGGGGATGCCTGCCGGGAGCAGTTGATGGCGGGGCAACAATGCCTCCTTACCTGCTTGAACTGCTCCTCATAGGTCCACTCGTGGTGCTGTGGTGGTGGTGGGTCGCGGGGCTCCCCTTCTTCCTCCTCTTCCTCTTCCTCCTCCTCGTCCTCCTCCTCCTCCCCCGCAGCGGCGAGCGGCGGGCGCGGGCCAGAGGCCGGGCGGCGGCGGGGAGCGGGGGGCGGCGGCCCGGGGCCGGGGCCGGGCTCCAGCGGGAGCCGTCGGGGAACGCCGTCGGGGCCGCGGGCCAGGCGGGCCGCCTGCTGCCGCTGCAGGCTCTCCATCACCGCCGCCAAGCGCAGCCCCCCCGCCGCCCCCGGCCCCCGCGGCGGGGCGGCCGGCTGCGGGCACAGGGCCTCAGCGCTGCCGCCGGAGCCGGAGGAGGAGGGACGGGAGGAAGCATCCCCCACGCCACCCGCTCTCCCCGCCGCTCCCGGGGGCCTTGCCCAAAAGTTGCCCGCGGAACCGTCGGCGTGCCGGGCACGGCTCTCGCCGCCGGAGCTGCTTCGTCCCCCGCCGGGACCACCCAGCACCCTGCCCCGGGGGGGGACCCGGCCCTCCTGTACCACATCCCGGCTCCTCCGGAGGACGCCGTCCCCGCTCCTACCGGACACGGGTCCGACTCGAGGAGCCTCCTTCCTCCATCCCGCTGGGGACCCCTGTCTTGGTGGAACTCGCGCCCCACGTTCCCCATGGGAACCGCGTACTGCTGAGGACCCCTTTCCTCCCCGGTCCCAACGGAGACATCCTCCCCGACGGGGAACCCTCTCCTACCGAGCCCTCCACCTCCCCGTCCCTGCCGGGGACCGTGTCCCGATCCCGCCGGAAGGTCTCACCGGCGCCCTGTCTTCTCGGGACGCCCCTCCCACTCCCACCGGGAACCCCGATCCCGCTCCCTGGCCAACGCGGGTGTCCCTACCCCGCTCCCGCCATGCACCCCCGCGTCGCCGGGGCCCCTCCGGCCGCTCCGTCCCTCACCAGGGCGGGTTTGGCCGCCAGGCTGGGGTTTTCCACCATGCCGCCGGCTCCGAGCGCCTCCCGGGGCTCGCCCCGCCGTCCCGGGGGGCACGGCCGGCTGCTCCGCCCGGTCCCGGCCCCGGCCCACCGCTCACATGGCGCCGCGCCCGCCGATATTTCTTTTATTCCGCAGCAGATGAGGGTGGGTGGGATTTTCCCCTCTTTTCTTTCTTTCTCTCTTTCTTCCCTTTTTTTTTTTTTTTTTTTTTTTCTTTTTTTTTTTTTTTTTTTTTTTTTTTGCAACAAGTGGCAGTCAGATAGCAACACCCCTCCCAGCTCCCATTTGCTAGCGCACGTCTAGGGTGTCACCCGGGGAGGGCTGGGCTTACGGCAGCCCCGGGGGATGGCCGCGGACCGGTCCGCCGAGAGCCAGCCCGCCGATAGCTGGCCCGGAGCCGCTCTGCGCGGGGCCGCAGCAGGGACCGGGACCGAGGGCGCAGCGGGCTGGGAGATCCCCAGGCTGTGTACATGTGTGGGTCTGGACAGGAGGAGTGCATGGGAGTGTGTACACATACGCAGGCTGTGCCCGCATAGACGTCTGAGGAGAAGAGAGGGGTGTGTACGGTTCTGTGCACACGTGTGTAAGAGGGTGCTGCACCCATCGCACACCTTTTAGAGGGTCTGTCTGTGTGTGTGTAGTTATCTGTGTGTGCTGGGAGAAGGTGAATGTGTGTGTATTCGTTGCCTGAATTTGTATAGTGGGATGGATGGGCTTCCCTCACACGTGTATGTGCAGGGCATCTGAGCATCCCCTGTGCCTGTGTACAGTGGGAGAAGTGAGTGCATTAAACTGTTGGGAGCCCCCACACCAACGGGAGTGGGCCCGGTGTTTAAGGGGTCTGTATGCCCTGGTGGTGTGTGTGGGGCACCTGTGTCCATCACCTGGAGCAGTAACCATGCACGCATGTATGCCCAGCCGTGTGCACTGTCAGAGGGCTGAGCACCTGCAGTGTGTGCACACACGTGTGTGTGTGCAATTGGGGCCAATAATAAATGCTGTATATATGTCTGTGGGGAACTTGGGGGTGTGTGTTTCGTGTGTTCACCTGTTAGTATATGCAGCCTCTGCTGGGAGGGGTAGGAGAGGCAGGCCTGTGCACATGTGCTTTTTTGGGGGAGGTGGGTGTATATGCTCATGCTACTAATCCATGTGCAGGCACAAAGGGGTGTTTGGGGCAAGCTCCAAGTGCTGAACCCTGAATTCCATCCTCAAGGGCTGGGGTATCACAGCAGTGTGACCCTCAGCCTGAGACTTTGAAGGGATCCTTGTGACAGGTGCTGTGGGTGCCTGGCCCCTGGCTGAAGTGGTCAAATTGTAATGTGGCCTGGATGCCCAAAGAGACTTCCTGGCACAGATGGAACAAAGCCATGTGTCTCTGTCACTGGAGTGGCTCAATGCTCCTGGCTTGCCCTGTGTCTCTGCTTGCAGTGGGATAAACTGTGGCACCAGGGTATCATCAAGTGTGTCTCCAGATGTCAGACAAGGGTGTAAAATGAGGTGAGAGCACAGCACCTCTCTGCCTTGCAGACTGTTTGTTTCCTTACTCTCCCTCCACCTGCCTGTCTGCCAGATTTTCCCGACTCCTTTCTCTATGAGGGAAACTTTGCCAGGAGGCAAAGGAGGCACCCGCTCTTCCTTGGGCTTTTTTTGGCCAGGGCAGCTGCAAGATTTACATGGATGCCTGGGGAACAGCATTACCCCACAACACTGGGACAAAAGGGGGAGTGGTTTTGATCCCATCCCACAGCCAGAACAGTTTGTCACTGAGACTTCCTACTGCTGCACTGGGTTTTGGTGGCATGGGATGACAGGAAGTTGGGTGGCAAGGGCTGGTAGCTCTCTCCCCTCCATGGCCACCTGTGTGGAGGTGCCCCTGGCTGCAGAGGCCAGGGGCAGCCAGCATGTGCCGAGTCCTTCCTGTTCCTTGAAGCATTTTGAGGAAAGCTGTTGACAGGAGCTGACTTTGTTCTCAAGCTCCATGGCCTAGAACTCCATCCCCTTCACCAGTTCCCTCAGTAGGGAAAAGCTGCTGTTTCTGTGCTCTCCATTTTCCCTATGAACATCTCCTGAGAAACTACCCTGTGTCCTGCCATGGCTGTTACTATATGACACGTGAAAGCACGACGTGAGCCGCTGCTATTGTAAAGGTAAAAAAGAGGAAGTTTTATTTTTGATTCCAACATTTATACTTTTCCAAAGGTGACAGTGGATTGGAGGGTGAACGTGTTACTTCTCTAACGACACTGGACAAACTACTAGTATATCAAATTTTTCCGCCTCTAAGAAGGAATGTAAAACAATAGGTTGTTTACAGAAAGTTGTGTGAGAAAGTTCTCTACAAGAATGTAAACTCAGAAAGTTTTAGAAAATCTTAAGAATCAGGGCAACACATGGCTCTGGTGATTCTCAGGGCTTCTTAAGCTCCTGGCACCTCAGCAGCATTTGACATAGTGCACCATGCTCACCAGGGAGGTGCTCCTGGAAAAATAAGACCATTCCCTGGAAGCGCAGGGCAGCTTCTGACCCTGCAGGGCCCCCAGGCACTGTTTATCTTTGCACAGGAGATAAATTAGCTGTCGGCCATCCTATTTCAGGGTTGGACAGCTGTAGCTTGCGCTGGCCCATCCCATCCCACCGCAGCAGAGTCAGGGACCTCCTGGTGCTTGCCAGCCCCTCTGAGTGCTAGTCAGTGTGGCACTCTTGTTGAATTGCCACTGAGAAGACGAGATCTAGCCCTATTTCAGAAGGATCCACAGGGCCAGATGACCGTCAGGATTCACTGCACAGGATCCTATGTCGCATGGTTCCAGCTTCCCTTCCCAGTGCTGCTGCCTTGCACCCCACTGTGCTGCACCCTCTGCTCTGGGCTGTGTCTTATCCCCTACACACTGAAAGCTGGACTGGGTGGGGTGAGACAGACATGGTGACTTCTCCATGGCCCAACAGGAGCCCAAGTGTTTGGGGAAACTCCCCTTCTCCAAGACAGAGGGGTTGGGGTGCTTGGGTCAGTTTAGCACCCAGGCCAGCTAGTGGCAACATCTCCAGAGGGTGCAGCATCTCCCATTGCCTTGGGCATGGCCACCAAGGGACCTGTCCTACTCAGTTCCTCTCTAGAACCTCCACAGTGATAACAGCAGCTCTGGGGTTCTGCACGTGTGTCATGAAGTATGTCAGGCTCTCCTCGGGGCAAGCAAGATGGACTGTGTCCCCTTTGCCCCGCTGCTCAGCATTTTGCACCAATGGGGTCTGGTGATGCTCCCAGCTGGAGAGAAATTCCCCAAATGGCTATTGATGGCTGCAGCTGAGGCGGCACAGATAGATAGTGAAGGTATAGATGGGCACGGCAGACAACGGAGCAGAGTGAGAGATACTTGGAGCAGAGAGATACCACAGGAGGAATCGAGAGATAGATCCTGCAGGCTGATCAATACCCACTGCATGTGGAGGGACAGCAAGATAAAGCAAGTTGCAGGGGGAAGGTGTTAGGAAGGCAGCGATCTGCATTTGTCCTGGTGACAGCTCTGGGGAGATGACACTCATGGTTGCTTCAGCCAGGACTGGGGTAGAGCCAGACCCGGGGTGCAGGTGCCCATGGCTGACTCTCCTTGCCTGTCTCCAGCCTCTCCATAAGTGCTTGGTGCCCTTTGAGGTGTCCTGGGGTCCCATCTGGTCTCTGGACACCAAAGGGTGCACATTTCCAGTGTGTGCTGGTCATATCTTCTGTCTCTCCAAGGAGTACCTGCTGCCTGTGGGCATTTTGAAGGATACTGTGTCACTGGGCAGCCAAGGGGGAAAGGGGCAAGCCCTGGCCCTGGCACAGGGGTTGTGCTGCAGCTGGGTGACTGTAGATGAGCTTCCAACTTGTTCCTCAGTTTCTTCATGAGAACCAAGTGATGGCAAAGCTACAGGCAACTGGGTCAGGCCAGCATGGACTTGGGAACAGATGAGGAGGCACAGGAAGAAGAGGCAGAGGCACCAACAATCTGCAGAACTTGCTGTGTCCAGAAGTCATCTCTTCTCTGCTGGTCATTGGAGACACCTGATTAAGAGGTTGCAACCATGAAAGGCATGCTTTTTGTGACCCTTTAATGAATGCCTGGCACTCAGTGCTCAGTGCTGGGATGGGGACAACCCCTCCTGCTGCAGCAGAGCAGCCAGGGTTCCTGGGTTTAAGCCCAGCTCCACCCTGCTGGCATTTGCCTGAGCCACCCCACACTATGGGGTGCTTGTCATGGTTTCTTCGCTGCTTGTCATGGTCTGCTTCTTCATGCCAGCTGCGCTGGGAATGCTGAGGAAGGAACCCCCAGAGCAGCCTTTTGCACAGACAGGGCTGCTGGCCCTGCAGCCAGGCTGGGGGGGGATCCTCCACCCAGTGTGGAGTTATTGACACAGGTGCTACAGAAAACACTGCTGAGATTGTTCACACTAATGTTATTTAGCAGCAATATTTCCGTAATAAAAGAAATCAATGGGCAAGAGAAAAGACCTGTCCAGAGCTTTGATTTTCTTATTTTAATGGCATACTTATTTACTCCCACCAGCGTGCCCATCGGATTTTCATTACGCGGCCTTCGCTGTAAGTGGAGCAGTATTGATATGAGCTGCTGAGTTAGCGCCTTGCTGCGCGGGCCAGCTCGGGTGGGATTGCTCGTGTTCCCCAACACAGCCCTGCTAAACCTCAGGGAACATGCCTGGTGTGGGCCAGCAAGGCCTGGTAGCCCACAGGAACACACATATGTGCTCACACAGAGGCTGCCCGTGTGTGCACAGACACACACAAACACAGCCCGCCTGCCCATGAACACACAGGGGTGCACACCTGCTGCTATGTGCACTGCAGGCTGTGCACGCAGGTGTGACACACGTGTCACCTGCATGGGCACACACACACACAGGTACAAAACTCTTCTGACTACACCCATGCACACATATCCTACCCACACGTGCCCCAGCACTCACACGCCTGCAGTTGCTCTGTATGGATAAATGCCTGTTTATAAATGTGATGCCACTTATAAATATGTGTCAGCCCCACCTGTTGTACCCACACCCACATGAAAACTATTCTACCTATATGCACACATGATTTGTGAATGCACACATGCGTGATGTCTGACAGCATGTGTGTGCACCTATACGTGTGTGTGCGTGTGTGCACAAACCTCTCAAAACCACCTGCTGTGTGCGGGTCCAGCCATCCTCAGGGAGCCACAGACTCAGCACTGCCACTATCCCTCAAAGGGATGGGACCCCCTGAGCTTCGGGATTGCCCATGGAAGCACAGACCTGGCACCAGCCCAGGTCTTTGGTCACCAGTGACTGCAGTGGCGAGAGGAGCAACAGCACCATCTTCTGCCGGCAGCTGAGGCAGGGCTGATCCTGCCCAGCGACATACCCCCAGCTCCCAGGACTTTGTGTGGGATAGTACCAGCTTCTCCGGGGACACTCAGCTGTCAGCAGGACTGCTGCTGAGGCTGGAGCTGGCCTTTACCGCGGCAGGGCTCAGCACACCCCAAAGACTCATCCAGAAACCCAAGTATGTGGGATGAACAACTTTATTACTGGTATCTCTTTTCAGGTAGCAAATTAAGAAGTAGCCCATGTGCAGTGCTGCTGGTCAACAGAACAGGGACAGTCCAGGAAGCAGGAGAATCAACATGCTACAGGCCTGGGTGGCCAGGAACACACTTGTGTGTTTGGCAGCAGAATGGAGGTGAAAGCCCTCCACCAAGCAGTGAGCTCACACAGGTCTGACCACAGGGGTGCAAGCCGGGTGCACATCTGGGTTTGGTTGGAGGATTACAGCACTCTCTTGGCAGCCGGGATCCCATGCCGGGAGCCGAGCAGAGTGGCTGTTCCCTGGGGGGTCTCACAGCCAGGAGAAGTGTTTTGAGGGGCGAGATTCCATCCTGAGCTAGTACAGACATTTGGGCACTCAAGGACACTAAGTACGTGCATAGCCAAGAGGCCACACAGAATGGGGTCTCCATTAAGGCGACAGACGGTGGGTTTCCCCTCTGGGGGGCACTGCCGGGAGAGGACTGTGGGGAAGTGACCCTCTTCCAGCCCCAGCCATCCCCGAGGGCAGATGACAGGGAGCAGGGGGCCCTCCGGCACAGGAGCCAGGCATCCCCCCACTGCCGGGGGTCTCAGCGCAGATCCTGCCCTGTGCCAGGGTGACACTGTGTGCTGCCAACCCACATCAGCAGGGATGGAGCCACGGGAGATGCTGCCAGCTGGACAGAGCACTTTGTGCTGCCCGCAGTCCCGGCAGGCTGCCAGAGACATGGGAGACTTAGCAACTGACCTCGGCAATGGGTGCTCTGGTCTGGTCTACCCTGTGCAGCCTGCCCCGAGGGCAGCATTATTCCCCTGATGTCTCAGGAGCTGAGGAAATATTTCAGGGCCTGGGGACAGCCAGCTTCAGCTTCTCTCCTGCTGCATGCTGAGGGCACACAGAGGTGTTTGTACACTGCAAGGCCACTCCAGCCCCGAGGGATGGAAAAGCAGGATGTGACTCCAATAGAAAGGAGGGACAGGCAGGTAGTAAAGAGAACTGACATTCTGTGTTGCTGTGACTGCCAAGGTCCCTCTGTCCTGGCACCATGTTGGCCTGTGGGGAAAGGACAGAACAATTTGGGGAAGGCACAGGGGATCTCCTGCTGCCTCTGCTAGAACCTGGGCTCAGGGAGGAAAACGACTGGGAGGAAAGGAGCCAACTGGGCCCAGCAGGGTACCCTGGTGACACAGGCTCAGCACCCAAAGGTGCTGAAGAAGGCATTTGCTTCCAGGAGCAAGCCCTTTGCGTACACACGCAGGGTGTAGAAGAGGGTGACGAAGTCCTGAGTGCTGAAGAGGGTGTCAGCCAGGGCAAAGGCGAGTGTGGAGGGGATGAAGCCCCGGCCGTACTCCACCATCCAGGTGCCTGCACTCCACTGCACTGATGTGGCCTCTCCCGCCTGGTGCACAATGGTGTCGCCTGCCAAAACACATACCAGCACAGCTCCCAGTGGCTGCCTCACATCACGCCCAAATGGGAGACACGGTGTTAGGGCCTGCAGGGTTGAGCCTTCCAAGCCGACCACAGCCTTGCTTCCTTTTCTCTTACTGCCACCCACTGAGATCTGAGATGTGCCACTGGAGACCCAAACTGCTCTATCCTGAGCTCTTGGCTTCTGTCAGCTCAAAGGAAGAGCCTCTATGACAGCCAGTGGCTGTGCCCCAAAGACATGGATGCACCCCATAGGTCATCATACTGCTGCCCTTACCTGGATAGTAGATCTCACTTCTGGTGGTCCCCTCCTTCCACTGCCGGAATGTCCCCGAGATGATGGTGTCAGAAATATCTGCCCAGTAGCGACCTGAGAACAGACAACACTGGCTCAGCGTCTCCCTGGCAGGGACAGCACAGGAACCCAGGTCTGAATTGTGGAGCAAGAGCGTCAGGATGGTAGCTCCTCTGCCTCAATACACCAATAAGTGCCAACGGCTCTGGTACCCTCACTGTCTCTGTAAAGAGCCATTCACCACCAGCCAGGGCTGCTTAGTGTCCTTAAGCCCCATCAATTCCAACTTCTTTGGCATTTGCTCCCTCCTGAAGCACTGGGAGATGAGATGTCTGCCATCGCCTGCCAGCTGGATGCAGAGAGTCCTGGCCACACAGCATGTCACACACAGGGACCTGCAAATGCTGCAGGACACCATGGGGGCTGGTCCCCTTGCAGGGAGTGTTTGGCCAGCATCATTCACCCCATACAAGTAGTGAAGCAGTGGGCTCCCTGTGCTGGGCACACCATGGCCAACTGTACCTGAAAGTGGAGTAGAAATAGCTTGGAGAACTCCCCTTCCCAGCAGCCTAGTCCCCCTGCTTACCTGAGTGTCCCCCGGTGTCGACAGCTGTCCCAAAGAGCAGCACGTACTCGGTGAGTGAGGCATGGAGCAGGCACATGGAGCCCATCCACCCGCCTGCATTCACAAACACCCACTGCAGGTCCTCGTCTGGCAGGATGTGGCCTGGGTGCTTCTTTCGCAGCTCCACAATAATCTTGGAGAAAGCCAGCTCATGGTCCAGCCCTGCAGCACCCAGGGTCACTGTAAGTCCCTGGTACAGAAAAAGCTCAGCCGACCAAACCCCCCAATCCCCTGTGCAGCCATAGGGTTTCAGCACACCCTTGAAGAAGTCTGCCTAGGGAAGATATCTCCTCTCTCCAGCCCTCAGCTCCCGCTGACCCAGCTCCACCGCCAAACTGGATGGTGACAGAGGATAAGGTGCACTGAGAGCTCCAGTCCTACAACCTATCCCAGGTGCTGGGCAATATGGGAGATCTAAACAACGTGACAGTGTCCCTGTCCTGGTTACATGCAGCCCCGACCAAACTCCCTGTGCCCTACGGCTCTCTTCTGAAGCCCCAGGCCTGACCCACCTGGGGCTTCAGCCCCAACCAGGTTGGATGATGCTGCTGCCCTGGTCCCCTTTGCTCCAGTCCCATCTTCCCGCTTCCCCCGCATTCCCTGTTGCTACTCCCCGGTCCAGCTCCCTGCCCCTCCCTGACACCAGCCCCATTCCACTCAGGATCCCGGACCCCTGTACCGAATTCTCCTCGGACCTTTATCCCCGCTATGGGTCTCCCCTCCAGCCCAGGCCGCCGCTCCCCTCCACGTCCTCTTCTCCTCTCTCCATCCCCAACCCCTTGCCTATCCCCATCCCCACCGCCAGCCCTCCTCGGCCCCGCTCCCCGCCGCCCCCCCGCGTCCCCACGGGCGGCGCGTACCCGCGTGGTGCCGGGCGAGCTGTGCGATCTCGGCGGGGGTGAACTCGTACCGCTTGGCCGCCAGCCACCCGCGCAGCCCCTGCAGCAGCAGCGCCAGCGCGCCCAGCGCCAGCCCGGCCCGCAGCGCCCGCCGCCCCCACACCGCGCCCATGCCGCGCTCCGCCGCCCCCGGCACCGGGAGCGGGACCCGGGCCGGGACCGCCCCCACCGCGGCCACGCCACGCACGGCCCGGGCGGCTGCGCCGGCGCGGCGGGGCGGGGCGGGAGGCTGGAAGGGGCCGATCCCACCGGGTTTCCGGGAGCGGGGAGGCATGGAGCCGTCGCTGGCCGGGGCGGCAGAGGGAGGCGGCCGCTTCCTTGCCGGCGGTACGGATGGGGTTGCCTTCCTCCATGCTTCCCTGCAGGCCCCCGGTGGAGCCCAGCACCACCCCGGGAAGCCGGACCTCCGGCGACCTTCCCTGCCCGGAGCAGCGGGGCTCCCGAGCTGGGACGGGAGGAAGGGTGGAGCTGAGGGACGGCATCCAGCGGCGTGCAGACCGTGCTGCTTGCCCCTTGAGGGCGTGGCGGGTGGGGTGCGTGTTCCCCCATCGCGGGGGGTCTGCACCTGAGGGCCGCTGCTCTCCCTCCCCGCAGAGCACCAGCACGTTCGGTACAACCCGCTGCGGGACGACTGGGTGCTGGTGTCGGCCCACCGGGTAAAGCGCCCTTGGCAGGGTCAGCTTGAGAAACCGCCCCCTGAGGATGTGCCCCGCTGGGACCCCAAGAACCCCCTTTGCCCCGGGGCCACCCGGGCCAACGGCGAGGTACCACCAGGGACACGGGACCGGGCTGCCCCTGCCACCCCCTCCTGCCTTCATACATCTCTCACCCCGGCAGGTGAACCCCAAGTACGAGGGTACTTTCGTCTTCCCAAATGACTTTCCTGCACTGCAGCCTGATGCTCCAGAGCCTGGTAACTTTGGGGAACAGAGTAGGCTGCTGGAGATGCCCCATCTTGGGTTCCTAGGGTGGTCTGGAGAGGCTTGGGTTCTGTCTCAGCACTTTCTCCCTGCCCACTCTCTGTTCTTCCCCAGATGACAGTGATCACCCCTTGTTTCGAGCTGCCCCAGCCCGGGGTGTATGGTAAGTACCTACATGGCTCCAGCAGGTATGGGACACAATTTGTTGAGAACCTGTGGAATGGTGCTGGGCTGGGCCTGCTTCTCTCATGCAGTGCCTGTTCTGTACACTCCTGCTCAGTTTTGGGGTTATTCTGGGGCTTTTGGCCCTGTCCCTCATCCCACATCCTACTGCACCGAGCAAAGCTGTGAGGGTCTCTGGAGACACCCGCAGTCGCAGCTAAGCGTGTTTGTTCTACAGCAAGGTGATGTGTTTCCACCCCTGGTCAGACCTGACGCTGCCCCTCATGTCCCTGCCAGAGATCCGAGCTGTCATCGATGCGTGGGCAGAGCTGACGACAGAGCTGGGTGCTTCCTACCCCTGGGTGCAGGTGTGGGGCTGGTGGGGGGCTGCTCTTTTTTGGGTGAAGGTGGGAAGCTGTCACTGGGTACTCTGACAGTACTTGGGGTTGGGAGCATCCTGGTTGTGTGTGGGTCTATTTCTTTGTGCCCTTTGTCCTCTTTGTGCCCTTTGAGCCTTTGTGCCCTGCTGAGCCTTTCCAGTGGGTGTGAGGTTCTGTCCTCCTGAGAGCTGCTTCCCTGCTGTGCTGGGGATGCCATGACAGCCTGCAGCGGGGGCCCTGGGGCTGGGGCCTGCTCGCTGCACCTCTTCCTCTTCTTGTAGATCTTCGAGAACAAGGGAGCGATGATGGGCTGCTCCAACCCACATCCCCACTGCCAGGTGAGGCTGTCCCACCTGTGACCTGGCTAAATTACATGTCCCTGTGGTGACCCTACAGCAAACCCTGAGGGCAGATGTGAACAGCAGTCGCCCTGCCCTGGTCATGAAGCTTTTCACAGTGAAGATACCTCTGTGTCTGTCCTGTCACCTTTCCTCTGGGGACTGTCCCTTGTGGCTGTCACATGCCAGACTCTCCGCCTGGTGGCAGCAGGGACCTCCAGATGAGCAGTGTGACTAGGGGTTCCCCTGCAAGTGAGGGGTATGAGCACCTCAGTCCTGTGCCCCAATGTCCCTCCCAGGTGTGGGCCAGCAGCTTTCTCCCGAACGAGGCACATCTGGAGGACCGGACCCAGCGCCAGCACCTGAGCCAGCACGGTGTGCCCATGCTGCTAGAGTACGCTGAGCAGGAGGCTTGCCGAAAGGTGAAGGCATGGATGTTGTCCGTATCCCCTCCCTGGGAGCTGGTAGTCTCCTGGGGTGGGCTTCCTAGCCTCCAGGAGCTGGGCCCTAAGAGTTCTCTGGGGCTTTGGGGGTTTGTATGCCCCCATCAAACACTGTGTGTAACACCTGCCTGCAGTGCGACAGGCTGGGGACAGAGTGGCTGGACAGTGGCCAGGCAGAACGGGATGTAGGGGTGCTGGTTGGGAACATGAGCCAGCAGTGTGTGCAGGTGGCCAAGAAAGCCAAAGGCACCTGGCCTGTATCAGGAATAGTGTGGCCAGCAGGAGCAGGGAAGTCATTCTTCTCCCGTACTTGGCACTGGTGAGGCTCCACTGTAAATACTGTGTCCAGTTCTGAGACCCCAATTTGGGAAGGATGTTGAGATGCTCAAATTCATCTGGCCAAAGGCAACAAGGCTGGTGAAAGATCTGGAACACAAGCCCTATGAAGAAGAGCTGAGGGAGCGGAGGGTGTTTAACCTGGAAAAAAAGAAGGCTTAGGGGAGGCCTTATCACCCTCTACAACTCCCTGCAAAGAGATTTTAGTCAGCAGGGGGGTTGGTCTCTTCTGCCAGGCAGCCAGTGACAGGACAAGACGACGCAGTCTTAGTCTGTGCCAGGGAAGTTTAGACTAGACATTAGAGAAAAATTCTTCACTGAAAGAGTGGGCATTGGAATGGGCTGCCCAGGGAAATGGAGTAAGCAAGACTGGGTGTGGCACTCAGGGCAGTGGTTTAGTTGATAAAGTAGTGTTAGATCATAGGTTGGACTTGATTATCTAAAAAGTCTTTTCCAGCCTAGCTGGTTCTGTGATTCTGTGCCTGCAGGAACGGCTGGTGGTGGAAAATGCAGATTGGTTGGTCGTGGTGCCATACTGGGCTACCTGGCCCTACCAGACCCTGCTGCTGCCCCGCCGCCATGTCTGTCGCCTCCAGGACCTCAGTGAGAGTGAGAAGGACAGTGAGTGGCTCTGAGCTTTGCTGTACCCCATCCCACATCCTTTGGGCTTGACCTTTGTTAGGGGGCAACCATGCTGATGCTGGATATTGATGATACTGATGCTTGTGTCCTTGGGGGCTGCTGAGCTTAGCGGAGGAGGGGAAGGGCGCCTCTGTTTTGTTAGGATAAGAACTGGTTGTTTGGGTACAGCCAGCACTGCTGGTAGCACTCATGTCCTTTTGGGGTGATGAAGCACATGGTACTCCCTGCTTTGGTGGACGCTTCTCCTGCTGCATTGGTTGAGCTCCCTGTGTGAATGGGGAGGGGTGGAAATTCTCAAGTGCATCCCTCCTGCCTGTCACTGATGTCCACCCAGGGGGAGGTGCTGTGAGTGACCCCACTGCACACCTGGCTAGCTGCTGGCCAGCTCAGGGTGTAAATCACTGTCACTTTCCTGCAGGCCTGGCCTCCATTATGCAGAGGCTTCTCATCAAGTACGACAATCTCTTTGAAGTCTCCTTCCCCTACTCCATGGGCTGGCATGGTGAGTGGCATGGCTCTTCAATCCTCTCATTCACATCCCTGTCTCCTCCCTGCGGCTCATGCAGTGCCTCTACCCCCTGCAGGAGCCCCCACAGGCCCCTACCTGGAGGAGGACTGCAGGCACTGGCAGCTCCATGCCCACTACTACCCTCCGCTGCTGCGCTCTGCCACCATACGCAAGTTCATGGTGGGATACGAGATGCTGGCGCAGGCGCAGAGGGACCTCACCCCAGAGCAGGTGAGAGCAGCTCAGAGGGGTTGGGGGACCCAGGGGGTTGTGTGCCAGGGCTGTCCCTGGGACCAGCCCCTGGCTGTCCCTGTGCTGTGCTCTGCAGGCAGCTGAGCGCCTGAGGAACCTCCCCGAGGTGCACTACAAGAAGAGGGCTGAGGAGGTGTGATGGGGAGCAGCAGAGCATCTAGTCCTCGGATGTGAGTGTGAGAAGGGATCTTATTGCTTCCCACCACTACTTGAAGGGAGGTCATACCCAAGTGGGGGTTGGTCATTTCTCACAGATAACTAATGGTAGGACAAGAGGGAGCAGCCTGAAGTTGTGTTAGGGGAGGTTTAAATTGGATGTTGGGGAAAATTTCTTCACCGAAAGGGTGGTCAGACATAGGAACAGGCTGCCCACAGAAGTCATGGAATCACTGTGCCTGGAAGTATTAAAAAAAAGGTGTAAATGTGGACTTAGGGAAATGGCTTAGTGGTGGGCTTGACAGTGCTGCACTAACAGTAGAGGTTTAAGATTGCATCATTTGGTGTGCTCGGTGAGGCCACAAGTCAGCTGGGAGTGGTGACAGCTGAGGTCTGGAAATTCATGTCAGTTGTGAACCCTCTGAGCTCCCAGATTCTCCTGAACCTTCTCACAACTTGGCTGGTTTGTGGGACTGGTTTTGCCTGTTTGGGGACTCGGGGCCTAATCCTGTGGCATCCTTGTGTAGGTGGTGTTCCTTATCTCTTTCACCATCCCAGGCTCTGAATTCTGCCCCCATGGCATGCTCCTACCACCACTAAAGGGCTTACCCTCCTTACTAGTCCAGTCTCACTGGTGGGACTGGTATGACTTCTGCCTCATGGAGGGGCACAACCCCCCTGGACAATAAAACCTGGAAGCAAAGTGCCTCTATCTGTGCTCTCGTGGCTTTCAGCCCTAGGTGGGAGGTTTGGGGTCTCTGGTGAAGGCACCCAGCTGCTGGTGGGAGATAACACGGGGCTCAGAGGTTGTGCTGGCAGTCCAGTACTTGTTGCTTGTGTTCCTGCTTCTGCGCTGCCTCCTCTTCCTCCCTGGGGGGAGCTCTGAGTCTGTCTGAGTGCTGCAGGCTTGTGGAGGAGTGGGAAACAGAGAAGGAATGGATGCAGCCCAAGGCTTAGCCAGCTCCTGGGAGAGCACTGAGCCCTGGCAGACTTGCTGCACAGAGGCTGCTGGCTGAGATGCTCAGCCCTGGAGCTGTTCCTCTTCATCCTCTCTGGCTGGGAGCCCTCATGGTGCCTGCTGCAGGTACGGGGGCTGCTGGGATGCAGCCAGGGGATGGTCCATCACTCACCTGGGGGCTGCCAGGGAGTCCAGCTCTCTTTCTGGTGCTGCTCCCCCCCATTCACTGTCCCTACCTGTGGGTGGGACAGTGGTAGCCTGGATGCTGGGCTGAGCTGGGGGATATTCTATTCACCTCTGTCTTTGCTTTCCTCCCTTTCCCTCTAGGAAAGCTCTGGGACTCTGCAGGGGTAGGTGATGGACACTGATGCCACCACAGCTGATGTGGGGGGATGCCAAGCACTATGAACCCTCACATCTTCACAAATATTTTTATTTTTCACTAATGAGCCATTCTCTATGAGACCCCTCTCCTTGTCCAGTCAGTGAGTGTGCTCCTGGGGACTAGAAAGTCCCTGCTTGCAAGGAGATAAATGCTCTCCTCCTACCTCCAAGACAGCATTTCATGGAGAAGGCTGTGTTCCCTGTGCCCCATCCATGCGTTGCTCCCCATGGGGCTAGGACAGATGGAAGAGCCTCCTGGCCAGTGTGATGTTGGCTGCCCTCCTACATGCTGGTTCTATCTTTCTGCTTGATTGCCTCATCCCAGAGCCCACAGACTGCCCTCACCTCTGCACTCCCCAGGTGCCCCGGGGCTATGCGGAGGAGCTGGTGGCTGACCCTTGAGCTTGGAGCTGTCATTGTGCATAGCATCCCTCACCAGGGCATGGGGGCTGCCCAGCTGGGAATCTGTCTTTTTGCAAAACTGATTTCTCCGCTGCTGGGACAAGCAGAGTCCGTTTGGTCACTGCCACCATCCCGATCATGAGCCCTTTCCACTGCAGCATGTGCCTCTGCTCCAACTTCCCGTCTTCCCCGCTTTTTCTCCACGGTCCTGGGAAAGCGGCAACAAATTGCCTTAAGTGTGGCAATCCAGCACGGGGTGATTAGCCGCTGAAGCGGCTGTAACGAAGCTAGTCATCTCCCTGCACACGCAGTTAGCTCTGATTTAATGGCCCGGCGGCTCCCAGCCCCGGGCTGCCGCGCCTCGGCCCGCGGCCGTAAATGAAACTCGCAGTTAAGTCAAGCGGTATTAAACTTTACAGTCGCCGTCTCTAAAAACGGGACTCTCTCCAATAAATCACGGCAAGTGGGATTGTAAATATCGGGGCAGGATCCATATTGCTTAATTAAACAGCACCTAATGAACAGCCTGTTTCTTGTGTTGTGATTTAGGATGGAGGCTGGGGAGGCAGTGCGTGCTGAGGAGGGCTGGCGCCCGTGCCAGGGTCCCCTCTGCTGCAGGTACCAGCCGCTCAAGTTTATCTTGTGTTAAAAAATCTCAAAGATGGCCTGAGAATTAGTTTGGGTTGGGGTTTTTTTTGTGTGATTTTTTTTTTTTTTTTTTTTTTTTGTTAAAACAAAATCTGCCCCTTGAAATCTGAAACTGGGTGAAAGCAGCAGTTAGAGAAAGAGGAGAGGGTACACCCAGGTATAAGAGCCTGACCCTGGTTATGCTGAGCTCCCCACTTCCTCACAACAGATGCAACCTCCTGTTGCCCTCATACTTTTAGCTTTTTTTACTACTTTTTCCTTTTTACTTTTTTTTTTTTCTCCCTCATAGTTTTAGTGCACGGGGATGTGAAAGGCTGGAAGGGAGCAATGAGCCTTTCCCATTGCACAGAGAGGCATCAGGGTGGTGAAAATGAAGCTGCTGGAGATGGAAAGGCATTGCAATTCCAAGAAGCCATGGCTGGTGTGCTGTAAAGCCCCAAGTCTTTTATAATTTGGTAGTTGCAGTCCAATTGTAATTAAAAAGTGATTTATTGTAGGAGATTAAAGAAGTCCAGCTGATGAGGGATAAGGGAGTGGAGGGCCTGCGGGGTACCCAGCTGTTGTTCTTGACTTGGGAGCATCAAAGGGGAGCTGAGGCCCATTTGGGTTCCCCATAAGGATGTTCCTTGATGCTGTTTCATTTCTCCAGGGGTCCTGTTGGAAATTCTGGGAGAAGTATCTCTGTGACTGGGTCATCCTTGTCCTTAGTCTCCATCTCCCAGCATGAGGGCAGAAACATCCTCTGCAGTCGCTGCCCTGCGCTGCTCTGGAAGAATGAATAGGGAAGGTGGTGGGGAGAGTGAGAGAAACTCATGCATGAAATGAATCCACTGGGATCCCACAGGAGTGTTTGCACCCTCTGTGGTGCACTAATGGGTCTGTGAGGGATTAGGAAAGGGACAGAATGCTGCTGTGCCAGGCTGGCGCAAGCTGTGCCTGCAAGGAGCAAAGGATACACCCAGTGGGGGATCCACATATACAGAGATGCTTGAGGGGGTGTGGCCAGGAATTTATTTTCATTTTTTGTCCCATTTTCTGATACCACTGAAAGAAATTGGTCAATCTGCCAAGGGATGTGGATTCCCCGAAGCTGCTGGAGCTTTGTGGCAATGTCCTTGCCCGGGTTGTAGCAGTGGCTGTATCCATCATTGTGCCTGCCCTGCATGTTTGGGAGACCCAGAGCACTCTCAGCTCTGACACTGACTCCTTCTGTGGCCATGGTTGAGCCCTGGGGTGCCAGTCTGGGAGGCATATGGTGGATAGACACCATTTGGCGTGAGCACTTCATGGTAGAGGGCAACTGCTGGAGGCAGGTTCCTGCCCTTTGGTTGAGTGTCCATGTCCTTGGCACCTGCCAAAGGCTGCAGAGCTGCAGAGAAGCTGCAGATCCTGAGTCCCCAGTCCTGCCCACCCCTTTTCCTCTTCCCCTGCCAGTGCAGGTGAGACAATAAAATGTTGAGCAAAGGAAGTTAATCTGTGACCAGTGTGTTTTAATCAGAAAGAAGAGCTATGAGTTGAGGCCTGCTGGCTCCTGCCATGCTGCAGTTTCACTGTCCTTCCTGATACCAGGTTAATGGCTGTAATTTCATTTCAGTTTTACTACTGGATTTGGCCTTATTGTTGAGTTTCTTCTTGTCTGCCGCTGCCTGTCAATGAGTAGGGGTTTTGGCAATGGAATAAGAAATAAATTAGTAAATTTTTAGGGAGGAAGAGAGGAAGGATAAAAGGAAGAAATGGAGGAAAGGAGGGAGAAAGGAAGGAGAGGAGGGTTGGAAACAGGGAAGGAGAGAAAGCTAAATCCCTCCTATTTCTATTTAAAAGACATCATCAGGCACTTACCATTAAAACAATTAATAATTTTAAGCAGATGCTAAACACCCTGGTGGCCTGAAGCAGGCAGGCTTCATGCAGTGGGGAGCTTTTGTGTGCCAGGAGAATGCAAATCAAAACCCAGACCCTTTTTAGATCTTGTCTTAGCTGGCCATGCAAGGGCAGCTGGGGCAGCAAAGAGCACCCACTTTGTCCTTGGTCACGTGGTGCATCTTCCCTGGGTTTGGCAGCTTCCTTGACAGGAGTTCAGACTAGAAGTAAACAATTTGGGAGGTGTCTTGCCCGTATTTCAGACAGCTGGTGTGTTTTCCTCCACCGATGGTCCCCCAGTTCTTCATGTGAAGAATTTTCAGAGCCCTCGGGGACCATGAGTTGTGGGATGGCTGCTGGTCCCAGGTGGACACAGTGGGATGTCTGGATGCTGCCTGCAAGCTCTGCATGGACTTCAGGATAGCAGCCCCAAGGCTGGAATTTCATTGGTTAATCATCTGATAATACAGGTAATTTAATACTGTCACAACATCCATGTGGTCAGTAAGCACTCCACCCCCCCCCCCCCCCCCCCCCCCAAATTTCCTGCATGCCTGGTGTTGGGGAGGTACCTTGGGGCTTCAGCTCTTGGCAGTGGGGTCCTGTCATTGCAAGTGGTTTGAGCCTTTTCCTGGGACCACATCCCAGAACCAGTGGCCTCTGTTTGGAGCAAGAGAAACAACAGGAGCCTCCAGATTCCAGCTGGATTCAACCCAAACAAAATTGTCTGGGGATGGAGGGGAGCAGGTATGGGTGGAAGAGCAGGGGACTGCTCTGGGATAGGGGCAGCCAAAGGGAAGGTAATCTTTGCCTGCAAAAGGGAGTTATCCACCAGCAGTGCAGTTGCTGGGAGGAGGCTGGAACCCTTGCATGGCTGGGATTGGGCACCCTGGCTGTTCCTGGGACACTGCTGCTGCTGGAGCCAGCTGTGAAAGCTCACAGACATCTGTGCCTGCCCTGTCAGGAGGGATCCCCCTTCATCCTGATGTTCCAGAGAAGAAATCTCTACATACTTGCTAATTATTATGAGTGATGCTGAGAAGTCTGCTACAGAGCCCCAGGAGCAGCAAGACATTGCAATGCCAGGATTGATGTGAGGTGGAAAATCATCCCCTGGGGTGTGCTTGGTCATGAGGTGACTCGTGCCAGAAGCAGAGCCCTTGGGAGAGAGGAGGAAATGGAGAGATACTAATTAGATGCTAATAAGTGAGTAATTAGTAGAACTCCAGCCTTCTTGGTGCCCCTGGGACTCCCTTGCCCAGGTCCAAGCCAAACCACCTGCTTCAATGTACCTAAGGTGGTTTGAGCCCTGCAGGATATGGCTGGAGCAGGGATGAATCAGCTGCTGCTCCCCATACACAGTGACAGGCTCAATCTCACAAAATATCCTCATAACTTGCCCTCATGAAACAAAATTCGACAAATAAAAGCCAAAAGTCCATTTGCAGCCTGTTAGCTTTTAGTGTTTAATCCCTCACTTATTTTGCCTGCATTTATCTCAGTATCAGGGTAGGTCCTCCACTACCTCATGGCTTTGTGCTTTGGTAGGGAGACAGGACTCCTGGGCTGCCTGTGCTGTCCCTGTAGAAAAGGTGCTGCCCCCCTTCTTGTGCCTCAGTTTCCCCATGGCTCAAACAGGATCAATCGCACAGAAGCCAGACCCCATCAGCTGAGCAGGCAGTGAGAACCTCTGTGGCAGCCCTTCAGATGCCTCTGGGCTTTTGTAGGATCCTTGGGACACCCTCAGTGTGACACCCTTGCAGTTCCTCTGGCTTGGGTGACTCCGTCTCACCTGGTACAGGTCTTGAAGATGTGAGGAGAAAGGTTTCCCAGCCCTGGGACTGGCTGCTACCCCAAAACAGCACTGTGCAACAAATCCCTGGGTTAGCACACCCAAACTGCTGGCTTAATATTTAATGTCAGACAACAAAACTATCTTGTTTTAATTTAATTTTTAAAATCAAATTTTTAAATTCTCACACAGGCAAGAAACAGAGTGAGAGCGAAGCCAGGATGGGTCCCCAGGATGCCAGCTTGCTTTTTAACCCTTCCCTTCCTGCTTTCAAATTCCTCTTGGGATCAGAGATGTTCAAAAAGCATCTGTCTGGTTCCAGCCGCTTCCAGTGCACTTCAGTAGCAGCAGGACCCTGCTCCATCACAGCCAGTCAGGTCACCTCAGAAGTAGCAGATCCAGTGGCACAGGAGAAAAGAAATGACCCCCATCCTCTGCTTGGGTCTAGAATTCCCTCTGCCCTGGAAAGGACTAGCCGACACATCAGGAACTTGGAATGATTATGATAAAACCTGTGGGACACCAAGGGCATCACTATGATTTGTGCTGTCTAAATGTTAATCAGAATAATAATGCCTATTGAGACAGCTGTTTTAAAAGGCTGTGATGTTGGAGTAAAAATTCCAATAAAATTCTATTAGCCCTTCCTCGTTACACTAATGGTGCCTGCTGCTAAAAGCCCCCTGCTATAGACACCCGTATTAATGGGCTTATTACAGGAAATAAAATCTGAGGCTGAACATTACAGAGAAGCCTGATTAATTCAGCAAGGTAATCTTTTTTTTCTTCCCCCTCCTCTCTGCCTGTTCTTATTCTCCCCCTCTTTATTTAATGAATGTACTTCTTGAACTGCCAACTTTTGAGCTTTTCATGGAGTTTGGGGATGATTTTAAACTGATCTCGTTCACAAAGAGATGAATCTTTGAGCCAGTGCCTGGTGCAAATGCGGGGGGAAGGCTTGTCAGATATCTCCATCAAACCAGGGAAGAGGAAAAGCAGCCAGGCTAGAAGTGAAGAGGTTAGAGAGGGGGAAACAATGGATGTCCCAGGGATATCCACCTGGAGTAGTGGCTTGTGGGCTGGAACAGCCCATTGCTTGTCGCCAGGCAGATGCATGTGACATTGGCCAAGGTGAAGCTGCTGGGGTCAGCAACACCTGCCCTCATATTCTCCTTCCCACCCTTTCTTGTCCTGATTTGTCCTTTTTTGCTGTCACCTCTGTCC